GAATAAACATAAATGTTTTCATTCCTAGAAAACTGTCAAATATATTTACAAAATACACTAAACTGATTCAAATTAGCATAAAATAAACCATGTTTTATAATTAAATGTCCGTCAATACCCCCCACTCCCCAAAAAAATAAAAAAGACAGCCCACCGCCACCTCGATTAAAAAAAATCCTAGGGGAAACCCTGTACTAGGTACTTAGTACTTTGCAGATATGTGCCAGGCAATTAGTGCATACATATTAATTACAGAGCTAGTACATACTTATTTATGAGGTAAATCAGGTAAGTAATCCGTACCTAACGTTATTTATTGCTACCTGAAAGTAAATTTTCCTTCATTTAAACAAATAAACTGAGAGAATATGATAAAATTCACACGTCAGGATATCTTATGTACCTTATTGTGGCTGTTTGTATTCAGTATTAAGGGTTAGTAGTCTCAGAGTAAAAAGCATGAAGRGTAATCCAGATTATATTTTGAGGAAGAACCTCTTCCTGTACAGCAGGTAGGCGATGAGCACCCACAGGGTGGTGCCCCACAGGTTCTGCAGCAGAAGTTCCCAGTGACTTTCCTGGAAGCGGATTTCCCAGCTGAAGGGGAAGTAGAACCCGAGGAGGGAGTGGCCGACGTAAACCAGGATGGAGTTCATTCCTGCAGGTGAGAGGAGGTTAAAGGTTGTTTGAAACAAGAGCCTCACCAAGTGTTTGGTTTACCTTTTTATATTTTGGATMTATTTATAGCTGTCAGTGTTTATTAAATGGTAGATTTTACACCCATGAGAAAGAGTCTTCGTATCTAAAACAAGCTTACTGAGATGGTTTCCATCCATAAATAAAAACATAATATAATATTTAGTGACTGTCTTTGCTTGTAAACAAACAGTACCTGGATTAATGAAGGGCTGTCCACTCCACCAGCCCTTCACATCGATGATGAAGTACATGCCTCCRAGCAGCAGGAAGGAGAAGCAACCCATACACAACACGTAGGACAACGACCTGAAGGAACAGACCCTCTGTGACTGTCTGCTAACAAAACTTTACTTTGGACATGATATTACACGTGGTGTTCTTCAYAATCGTATAGCAGAGCTAAAATTAGCACTAGTAGCATTAGCAGTAGTACCAGCAGTAGTAAAATTAGCATTAGTAAATTAGCATTAGTAGTGCTTTTATTAGCAGTWGTAGAGTTAACACTAGCAGAACTAGCATCAGAAGTGATGAATTCATTGCATTTGTATAATTAGCAGTAGCACTGCTAACGTTAGCAGAACTAGCATTATAAGTAATRTTTTTACCACTGGTACTATTAGAAGTAGTAGTGTTTACATTTGCAGAATTAGAATTAGCAGTAGTAGTACCAGCAGTAGTAAATTAGCATTAGTAGYGCTTTCATTAGCAGTAGTAGGGCTAACATTAGCAGAACTAGCATTATAAATAATAACCTTACCATTGGTATTATTAGCAGTAATAGTGTTTACATTTGCATATTTAGCATTAGCAGAAGTAGTTCCATCAGTAGTAAAATTAGCATTAGCAAACTAGCATTAGTAATGCTTTTATTAGCAGTAGCACAGCTAACATTAGCAGAACTAGCATTATAAGTAATGTTTTTACCACTGGTATTATTAGAAGTAGTAGTGTTTACATTTGCAGAATTAGAATTAGCAGTAGTAGTACCAGCATTAGCAAAATAGCATTAGTAGTGCTTTTATTAGCAGTAGCACAGCTAACATTAGCAGAACTAGCATTATAAGTAATGTTTTTACCATTGGTATTATTAGTAGTAGTAGTGTTTACCTTTATAGAACTAGCATTAGCAGTATTAGTACCAGCAGTAGTAAAATTAGCATTCGTAAAGTAGCATTGGTAGTGCTTTCATTAGCAGTAGTAGGACTAACATTAATAAGTAAGTAAGTAAGTAAAGTTTTACTTATAAAGCGCCTTTCACAGAAATATATTCACAAGGTGCTGTACAATCATTAACAGTATAAAAATGGTGGAAAGAATAAAATGAAACAGAAAAACATAATAACACATAAGCAACGAAAATTGAAACATCAAATCAAGAATTAATTTCTAAAATTGTAAATCAAACACAAGGTCAATGCAGGTCAAAATATACAATAATACACAAAAACATAATGAAATTATGCAAACATTAGCAGAACTAGCATCAGAAGTAATGAATTTGTAGCATTTGTATAATTACCAGTAGTATGGCTAACATTAGCAGAACTAGCATTATAAGTAATGTTTTTACCACTGGTATTATTAGCAGTAGTAGTGTTTATATTTACAGAACTAGCATTAGCAGTRGTASCAGCAGTAGTAAAATTAGCGTTAGTAAATTAGCATTAGTAGTGCTTTCATTAGCGGTAGTAGGGCTAACATTAGCAGAACTAGCATCAGAAGTGATGAATTCGTAGCATTTGTATAATTAGCAGTAGGGCTAACATTAGCAGAACTAGCATTATAAGTAATGTTTTTACCACTGGTATTATTAGCAGTAGTAGTGTTTACATTTGCAGAATTAGAATTAGCAGTATTAGTACCAGCAGTAGTAAAAATAGCATTGGTAAATTAGCATTAGTAGTGCTTTCWTCAACAGTAGTRGAGTTAACGTTAGCAGAACTAGCATCAGAAGTGATGAATTCRTAGCATTTGTATAATTAGCAGTWGTAGGGCTAACATWAGCAGAACTACCATTACAAGCAATGTTTTTACCATTGGTATTATTAGCAGTGGTAGTGTTTACATTTGCAGAAATACAATATGTAGAATCAGTATTAGCATTAGTACCAGTGGTAGAAAAATTAGCATTAGYAAATWAGCATCAGCAGTATTATCATTAACAGTTTTAGAGTTAACATTAGCAGATGGAGCATTTGAAATGGTATTCTTAGCATTTGTATAATTAGCAGTAGTACAGCTAACTTTAGTGGAATTAGCACTAGTAAAATTCGCCTTATCCCTTGAAAGAGCTGAATGCTTTGATATGATAATTAGCGTCTTAAATCGGATCAACCCAGTGAATTCTTCCTGAAATTTTCATTGGAATCTGTTTATTGATTCATGGGACACAAACAACCACAAAGACACGAGCTAAAATAATAACCGCCACAGTTCTCAGGGCAAACGTAACTTTTAGGACAGTTTGGTTTGAAGCCGTGGATGTTTGTCTGCGCCCGGTGGAGCTGTGCCAACCAGCCGTGTCCCTGTCTGCTTCTAAGTGCAGCGATGTTTGATGAAATACCTTCTAATGTTAAATGGCCTCCTTACAGGGAGCTTTCTCTATTTTATTTTCCATCTCAGCTGAAGCGGGGCCAAAAAAAAAAAAGTCTCTTGGATGAGAGTTAATTACTGCCAGACATGGAGGCAGGGAGTGGCACTCAGGAGCTCAATAAGCTGTGCATGATGAAGGGCCTATAAAAGCCCAGCAGGTACAGTAACAGTGAGGGGGGAGCAGGGAGTTGGAGGGGGTCTCTGAGGAACATCCCAGATAATCTGCTTACACATCACATCACATTTCTCCTGCTGCAACATTAAAATGATTCACAGCAACAAGCTCACAGTCATATCTATACCGGTGTTTGATGGTCTCTGTTAGCAAAATATCTCATGGACCACTTCACACATTTTCATCAAACACTTCATGAACATTTTAAAAATAACTATTGGAGACAACAGTTGTCAGTTTGACAGATAATGAAATACATTGTGATAGTAGCTTAGAGTAATTAAAGACACATTCTGAGCACGTCCTGAACTACTGCATGACATCATACATCAAGGACTTTTAAAGGTTTCACCTACAAACAGCTACAACACCKTCATTTCTCCACTAAAGTTTATTTAAGTCAAATGTCTAGGTTCTTTAAATTAATACAAACACCTGTTTAAAACAATTATGTGATTTGTTTATTATTTTTGTCTTCATTTGGTATTTGTAGCTTTTGGCTGGCCTGTTGCTACATTGGCTTTTAGCAAGCCCTTTTCTTATTTTATCTAGCTTTTTGCTTCTTTAGCTTTAAGCTGCCACTTTTCTGCTTTCACATTTTGGCTAGCCTGTCGCTACTTTGGATTTTAGCAAGCCCTTTTCTCATTTTATCTAGCCTTTAGCTTCTTTAGCTTTAAGCTATAACTTTTCTGCTTTTAGGTTTTGGCTAGCTTGATTCTACTTTTGCTTTTAGCAAGCGCTTTTCTCATTTTATCTAGCTTTTAGCTTCTTTAGCTTTAAGCTGTCACTTTTCTGCTTTTACATTTTGGCTAGCTTGTTGCTAATTTGGCTTTTAGCAAGCCTGTTTCCTCATTTTGTTAGTCTTTAGCTTCTTTGGTTTGAAGCTATTATTTTGCAACATTTAGCTGTTGGCTAGCCAGTTAGCTGGTTGCTTCTTTAATCATTTACCTAGTTTGCAGCTACTTAGCTTTTAGCAAGGCTTTTTCCTCATTTTGTTAGCCTTTGACTTCTTTGGTAATTATCATTTTGTTACTTTAGATTTTGACCAGCTTGTTGCTACTTTTATCTTTTAGCTAACCTGTTGCTACTCTGGTTTTTAATAAGACTTTTACTAATTTTAACTAGCTTCACGTTTCTTCAATTTTAAGTTATCAGTTTGGTACTTTTAGCTGTTGGCTACCCAGCTGTTACTTTCAGTAATGAGCTAGTCTATTATTACTTTTAAATTTAGCTAGCCTGTTGCTACATCGATTTTTAGCTTAGAACTGCACGTTTGTTACTTTTAGCTTCTAGTTACAGTTTCGCTTCTTTAATTTTCCACTTGATTTCAGCTTCATCAGCAGTCACTCATAATTTTCCTAAGTTTTAAAGGAAAGTGTAATTTCTTTAGTTTTAGGAGTTTTACTCTAACACGTTTAGGTTGGGCCCACRGCAGCTCGGTGGTCAGTGCTGCTGTCTCATAATCCTGAGGCTGCAGGYTCGAGCCCAGAATGTGTCAGGGAAGACATCTGGTGTAAAAGAATCACCAAAGCTTTATCTTTACTGGAAGAGTGATGATGAAGATGTAAAACCACTCTGCCTCACACTCCCAACACTCAGGGTGATTATTTACAGACGTCCCTGCCCTCAGAGCTAAATAAATGTGTGTTTYAGCTGCCTTGATTTGTGCCTGTTGGAAACTCATCCCCTTCTTTTTATTTATTTTTTTCATCCTTTTTGTGAGAAGAGTCTGGATTTAGAGGGTCAGGAAGCACTTACCAAAGGTTTTTATTGACAGGAATAAATCCTCCGTCTCGCGTGCACTTACAGAGGACGGCCGCGGAGATTCCCTGAGGGTGGAAATGAAACAGATTTCAAATCGATGGACRGCGATAAAGCAATACGTGTCGAGCTACTAAAAAATAAAATAAATAAAACGAGCAGCAACAGATAGTGAGTCCTGCAAATTGACCGATCATCTGGGAGCGGAAACAAGCAAACGACCAAAACAGGCTGAACTACATTAAACAGTCGCCTACTAAAATGTGCAAAATCTCTGTTKAACCAACAGATAATAACAAAACTATTGAAGTCAAACCAAATCAAGATGGCTGCCACAGCTTAAAGTAAAACTATAATTCAGTTAATTGTACAAATATTGACATCCAGTTTCTAAACATCCAGTTACATTTTGTTAAAAGAGAGAGTCAATCTGAAGGGATAGAAATGTTTGTCAAATCTAAAGTTAGAACCAGTTTGAAGGAACGGAGTACTTCAGTCCAGGGAATTAAATTATGGAATAATCTGGAGGATGACGTTAAAAACGCCAGATCAATGTGTATATTTAAGAGAATAATAAAGGTCAATTTGTTGGAGGAATATGAATGCGTATAATGTACGAAGGAATTAAATGTTTTTCTTTTATCTTGTGTACGTTTTTGTAGAACGAAGATTATTTTTATTGAATGTATTTACTATTTGAGAAAAGGCGAAAGAAATCATAAGATTTTTTTCTTCTGCTACCTTTCATTTAATTTATGATTTGTATTTTTTATTGTATATTAAA